AGGAATCTTAATCTAGAAGAGAAAGGATTGAGAGACCACCAGTATATTTAACTTTGATTGCTGATGGCTTATCAGACAGATGCTCTTTCCTTGATTCAATTCTTGCAAGTCTTTGCAATACTAATTCAGCAAAGAGGCCAAGCTTCAAACATTTTGGCATGTCTGGGATATTCTGTTAATAACTGAAAAAATATTTCCACAAAACCATGAGGGCAAAATTAAATGTATTCCAAAACAAGATGAGTTATCCGCTACCAGCTGCTTCAGATTTCTGCTGTTGAAGAGGGACAGGAAACCTGGGTTGTTAAGAGTTCCAGAGTATGTATTTCCACCATGACATAAAGCGAAGGTCTTCCAGAAGAAAAGGAATAACCTCCTCCTCTTAAAACGCAGTCTACACTTTTGTATAAATAATTGTTTTGAAACTCTCTGCCAGAACTCCCATTTAGTTATGATTACCTCCCACAGCACTTCTGCTGAATTCATTAGTAATTTTCAGTTATTCCTGTTTATTCATGCTCGCTGATCTATTCTTTCTTTCCTCAGCTATGTTGTTACTTTCAACCTCATGCTTTAACTCAGAGGCATCCGGCATGCCAAATCATTAAGCATCCTTCTCCGCATATGCTGGACTGCATGTATTAAAACTACACAGACTAACAAAGCACTGTACGAAAAGAAGTACTTTGCAAATCTGGATAACATCCAATCAGACAAATACAATTTTCTCCATAGAATCATAGAACAGTTTTGGTTGGAAGGGACCTTCAAGATCATCGAGTCCAACCTTTGTCCTGGCTTTATCAGCACTGCTAAACCATGTCCCTAAGCACAACATCTACCTGTCTCTTCAACACCTCCAGGGATGGTGACTCCACCACCTCCCTGGGCAGGCTGTTCCAATGCCTGACAACCCTTTCAGTCAATAAATTCTTCCTAATGTTCAGCCTGAACCTCCCACGGTGCAGCTTAAGGCCATTTCCCCTTGTTCTATTGCTTGTTACTAGGGAGAAGACTGACCCCCGCCTCCCTACAACCTCCTTTCAGGTAGTTGTAGAAAGCGATAAGGTCTCCCCTCAGCCTCCTCTTCTCCAGGCTAAACAGCCCCAGATCCCTCAGCCGTTCCTCATACAAGACATGCTCCAGCTTCCTTACAGACAAATGTCAGTCCTGAACCAAGTCTCGTGAACAAAGGGTCACTGGGAAGAAGTCGTAATTGTAAGTAGCACTGTGGACCTGAGGTGCTATTCCACTTGAAACAGCAGCATCACTATTTGTGGATAAAACCAAATATGTAGCACATGGTAGTTAAAAAAAAAAAACCAACAAAACAAAAAAACTAAACAGACAGACGATTGTAAACTGTGCTCAAGAAGCATGACCACAGAGGCAAAGCTGTACCTTCTTCCATATACTAGCACAATTTCCAGCATAGCTGAAAGCACAGGCCATACCAAACAGCTCTGGAAGTAGCTGCCCCAGCCAGGACAACTGAGTCCTGTCAGCACTTGTACCTGGCAGAGATGCACTACAGTCAGAGCTACACCGAGTCCTGCAATGGTGCTGAAAGGCTCTGTCATCTTCTTTTCAAAATGGCAACCACTCACAGCTCTTATTTCCAAAACCTAAGCAAATCAATGCTAATTGCTTTGTTCCTTACAATGTGTGTGGCGGCATACTCGCAAAGGAAATGCTTTCAGGTCACCACAGGGTGTGTGCTACATTATCTTCTGATTCATTCATTCTTCCTCACCGTTAGTCATGCCACACGTTCACGTAGGGCTGAGCACAGGACTCTAACAAGATCAAGAATGCAGCGTACCATATAGCGTACCATACCAGCGTACCATAAATCCGTTCCTCATTTACAAGCAAGGTGCTGGGACATAGAGACATTGTACTATGGCAAAGAGCACACTGGCACAGCCCGAAACTGAATTCTCCTGCCTTCTGCCTTCAACTATATTTTCCAGTTGGTTCTCTTGCCTCACAAGGGCTAGAAACTGTAGCTTTAAAGCTGCAAAAGTTGGTAAAACTTTGTGTCCTCATCTAAACGCATTGTGCACCGGGCATTAAAAAAATAATAATCAAAGAAATGGACAGAAAGTAGTACAAGAGCTTCCAGCTACAGCCTATTTCAACTACATAACACAGCCCAATAATTAGGCTGTAGTTTATGATCCCTCTTTTAAAGAATTTCACAAGTTTTTCAAACAGGTGCGTGGGTAAGACTGAAACACAACCAGGCAGGGGTTTCCTGTGAAACAGGTGCCGAGATCAGTGGCAAATTCCGGGAAATGCTCAAGTTGCTCCAGAGACAAGCGCCATCATGCACGGCACTAATGCCCCACCATCGTTTCATGAGTGAAATTAACTCTCCTGGTCACCTCAAGATGACACCTTGTGTTGTATTCAGATATCACTTCTTTACCCTGACAGAAATGTAACCACTCCCCAAGCGATGGGACCCGACAGCTTCTTGCCAGGAAGCACCACCAAAACCAAGACCACCAGTATTATTAGGGATGAAATATACAGGCAACTAGAAGAAACTGTGACCGCTGTGTGGACACTGGGACACTTGTTTTTGCAAGAAATAACAATAAAAAGTACTATCATCAGGATGGCACTTACTGGCCAAAACTTGAGCCTTAATTTTGTTGAGAAGATTATAACTTTCAAATTATTTCAGCAAAGAGGATGACTTGTTGCCTCCACCCAAGCATCCCTCTTCTGGGGGAGTTGATCCTGTACTACTACAGAGCCAAGACATTGCCCATCTTGCATCAGATCTGCACAGCTGCAACCTTAAATGTACAGATCAAGCTTTAAAAAATGCTGTTGTTTCAAGCCAGAGCTTTTATTTGTTGACATGATCAGCGCCATCTGTTTCGCTGTCTGACACTACTTTCTCCAGAACACTTCAGCTGTCACTTCATATTTTGCCTGTTTGCAGAAGCTTGTCTCACATTTCTTTTTTAAACTTTCACTTTTACACAACGCTTTCAGACATCTTGCAGAACAAAACCTCTTTGGTTTTGGAGTGGGCTCTCTTAGAGCTTATTTCTGCAAAGTATCAGTATTAACTGAGCCATGGCTTTAAGTCTAGAGCACGCACTCACAGCTGGGTTTTTTGTTTGTTTGTTTGTTTCAAAAAAATAAAAGGAACACAAAAGAAAAGACAATTACAATATTGTAACTGATCTGACTAGTGGCATGCTTCATACTGAAAAAAAATATTTTGAGTGAGCTTACCTTTTAAATAACAAAAGTGCTTTTTCTGTGCTGCTTTACATGTTTCAGTTCAACTGAAAATTTAAACTAGACCTGGCATTTGAATTTTCTGACAGCTACACACTAATATACCATCATATCATTGCAAAGAAATTTAAACAACCTGCAGGTTTTAGAACGATTTCCATTAGTTTCATTGAACTTTGAGGTTACTAGAGAACAAATAAAAAAGGCAAAGATCTCTTGAATTTCTGGATATGTTATTTGTTACCATCTACCAACCAAAACTTCTAGTAACATCCTTTTGGAGGGCATCTGCTTGCACCACCCTATCTGCTGTTACCAACTTTAAACCCACCTTTATACTAAAAAGCACGTATGAAACACGTTCCATGAACACAGCCAACACTGAAAGCTGAAGGATCACTGAGGGGTACACAAGAACAACGAGAAGTACAGGCAGAAAAGTCCACGCAAGTTCAAGCTTAAACTGGATGTGCACCGTCACCCCACAGGGCAGAGAGGTGGGAGCACCATGCTCCTCCTCAGACATAGGCTTGATGAGTAGAGTACAGCCGCAAAACAGCATTCAGGCTCATGACAGGATAGGCAGAAATTAAAGACAAAAAGCTCAGAATAAAACAATGCAAGCTGTAAGGCATCAATTAAAGTGGAGCTGTGAAAGAGCTAAAAATGTGCATCTTGTCTAAGCAAAAGAAAATAATGTAGAAGACTCCCAGATATTTCTGGAAAGCTTAAAAAAAGAGAGGGGAGAGACTACCTAGAGTATTTCCACAAGTGACAGGTTTAAATTATGAGGTAGGGGAGGAAATTTAAAAAGGAAACATTACTGGCTGAAAGTCCTGGAAAAACTTCCTGACCTTGAGATATTATTGGCCATGGCACATCCCCTGTGGAGAAGGGAACTGCCCTCCTGGAAAGGCCAGCAAAGAGCCTGCTGGTTTGAGGAGGACTGCTTCATCTTGCAGGCCTTTTCCATTTCTGTACTTAAAATCTTATTATAGTGCTATCCTATTTTGCAAATATATGCTTTTATATATTTGCTGCATATTTGAGAGCAATTAAGTATCTGACTGTATATGAGAACTAGTTAATTCCTTGGACTTAATCACAGAGAGAATGTTCTACAGTACTAAAATTGTCAGTCAGTCAGCAAACAAAATAAACCAACATAATTTCTTTAAAATTATGTAATTGACAGGCATCTAACATATCATTCTATACAATAATAGATAAAGCCATCTTCTGAAGCAGCTTGCTTTCATTCTGTTCCTTTGGAAGGTAGCGGAACAGTTCAGTTAATACTGTTGTTTTAAACAACAGATAACCCAAGTCCAATCGCTATATGGATTTTTTTGTTAATCAAAAATATCTTCACAGAAGGTCAGGTCTTTTTACTTAAGCATACTATATTTTGCTTGTCAAGCATATCTTGGGAAACAAGATTGTTACAGGTAGATGACAGTGAGAACTATTTTTTTCTTCCATATTTATCAAGCAAATTTACTTATAGACAGTAGTTCATAAAATAACCGTCATTGATATGTTAATCATATAAATGTATTTTAAAGATCAAGGGGAACAGAGCACACAGCTAGCTAAGATAACTTAATTACCTTTGTCTTTTCACCAATAACATTTCTCTCCAGCTCAGCTATTTTTCTGTTCAGATGATCCAATATTTCCTTCTCTTTCAGCAGCTCTGTCGTTTCAGATTTCTGTTCCCCATCCAAAAGGGCACATTCCATATCCAACTAGGAACACAAAACATTTTTCAGAAGCAGTCCAGATTAAGAAGAAATCTTGATACACATTATCTTCTGGGGGAAGGGGAGTGAGTTGGTGATTATTTGTAAGAAAGAAACATTTTTAAAAGGGGGGGGGGGGAAAGTAAGTTTTACTGCCACAAAAGTGAGTTAAAAAGAGATCATAAATCTGAGAAAAAGTAAAACTGCAATATAAAGTACTGCAAAATAAAGCCCAAACCAACTTTAGTTTGAAGATTCTTTTTTTCCAAAACTTTTTCTTTTCTATCTCTTCTCTGAGCTTCCTCCTGTTATGATACTGTACCGACTCTCTGTGCCCAGGCTCCGTAGGAAATCCTTCTGGAACAGCTGTTTCTTTCCTGTCACTGATAATTGGAGCAAGCACAACCCAAATGCCTAGCCAGCTTGGACTGCAACTGTGAGATTCCAGAAGTCAAGAGGGTGCCAACATACCCTTGCCACCGTAAAGCATAGGAGGTTTGAAAGGAAGTTGTCTCACTTCCTTTCTCTTTAAACAGTCACAGGAGATACCACCACAGAACTCCCAAGTGACACAAGCTATTTAGATCAATTGAGTGACCATTAAACAAGCAAGATTGTTCTAATTCCTCATAGGAGTGTAATGGTTACAGCTGGGAAAGGCTAATCCGAGCATCACATCCATCTCCCAGCTGGAGAAAAATAACCTTCATAGCAGGAGGCTGCCAGGTCCATGATTCTGTGCCTAACCCTGGTGAAAGAGCACAGAATATAAAGGCTACGTACACCCATGAATTCGCTATGTATTTGCTGAACCCATCAGACTTACGCTATGTAGACATACCTAACAAGGAATACATTTAAAACTAAAACATGTTTCATACCTCTCGCGAGGATTCATCCATCTGGTCATTTAAATCTTTGATCTTCTGCTCAAGTTCTTCCAAGTTATTTAGTATTACTATGCGCTCCTCCTCCAGTCGACCAAGCTCCTGCCCTCTTTGCTCATCACTTGTGCATTCTGGTATCTGCAGTTGCATGTTACAAGAGGTTCATTAGAAAAAGAGTTAAACAGTGGCTTTCCTTCCCCCTTTCATATTGTATCCAATTTAGACAAGTACAGTACTGCTGGTTTTGAACCCGTTACATATTTCATATCTACTATATTGCTATTTCTATATTTAGAAGGTGTACAAGAGAAATAAACCTGATACTTCACTTCCAGGCATTGGAAGTAAATACTATACTTAACAGTTCATTCTACAGGAATTCTTAAAACCTAACCTTTGAGAATACTTTACATGCTGTGCTATTTAGGTAGTAAAAATCCAATTTTTCCCTTGTAAAAATAACACAGATAGATGAAGATGCTTTTTATGTAAATTTCAGCTGTTCGTATAATAAAAGCAAGGAGGTAGGATAGGACATTTTTGTAACCAGCCATTAAAATGGGCAGCTTCTGTAAAACAAAGACAAAATTTGGTTCTGTCTCCCCAGTTAGCACCCTCAACGTTGCTCTTTTCATTGCCATTTACATACTAGATAACTGTGCCAAGAATTAAACAACATTATTAAGAAAATACCTGTGATCTTATATCAGCAAAGGCTAGATCAAAGAGTATTGAGTTTCAAATGTATTCTTCATGGTCATCTGACCCCAGGGGCTTATGAACCAATTCCTCTGGTAAGGCTGCTCACCCATTGTCCCCCGTCAGAATTAGAAGTGGGCTGCGTGCAGGGCTTCACGTTAACCACTGGACCACACAGCCTTGCTCAAAAGAGGCTCAGCTCAGCTACTGAATGGCTATTCTGAGAGCAGGCGTTTTATCCTGAACAAATCTGATCTTTGATATTTTAAAACAATGAGCTGTGTTTCATTAACACAGTTGCTTGTTATTGCTTTTCTCAGGCCTTAGCAGAACACCCTTTACTATGAATGAATGAATGGTATTCCTTGATTAGCATTAGTAATCCTAGCAGGAAAGCCTTTTTTTTTTTGTCCGGTATCCTGTTCAGATAATGCTGACATAGCATCTTTGATTTCAACTTCCTAATAAGGATTTAAAATACGATCTCTGACTTGCATGAAGAAAGCAACAAATGGGAAAGAAATGTAAGACCACAGGAGCTTGCAAATGAAATGTTTTACTACCTTTTCAACATGGAAAGACCAAGTAAAACCATAATAGCACGTTTCTGTTCGACATAATTTCACACCGAAAGACTTGGCAGACGGATTTCCAGAAACATACCCCTTTATAAGATAAAACATTTTGCTATCACACCTCTCTCTTCTTCTACGCATACACGCTTCTATTGACTATAAAGATGTAAGCGGAGGTTAAATACAATTCATGTTAGGCATATAACCATGCTGGAGCTCATACAGTGTGTAAATAACACTAAAAAGGAGAGACACAAAGTATTTTGAAGGTGTGAATTTGTTAAACAGGAACCTGCTTTTATGGCTTTGCTTGGTCTTATTATGCTGGTTCTAACTCTTGAATACAGTTATTTACCACACTGCCTGTCACCAGGGTGGGCGGCGCTGCTGGTCTGGCACACCAGAGCCTAGGCACTGACCTAAGATGACGAAAGGCCCCTGTCCGGAGGAGGCTGCTGCTGTTCTAGCTGAAGGAAGCTGCTGAGAATGCTGCTAGCTCGGGTTTTAAAGGTTAATTTCCCTTCAGTGATGAAACAGCAGTGCGAAGTACACAGGAAAGGAACCGCAGCTTATTAAATGAGGAGCTGGGTTAGAGAGGCAGGAGGGCTGGTTGTGGCTGCGCACCTCACGAGAGGCAACAGCTGATTTGACAAGTGGCTCAGGTCCAACCCTGGGAAAGCAGACAGGACAGTAAATTTGGCTCAGGCAACTCGTCTTCACCTCCCATGTGACTGTTCTGGTTTGCCCACAAGAAAACATCCTCCTCTTACGGAAGACTGGAGCCTTAGGCTGGGAGAAGACGGCAGACCTTCCCTTCCCTCCTACATCCCAGCATACTGCTCAGCAGGGTTCCTGAAACCTTCCTTATTTAAGTAGCTGTAATTTTTCAAGCAAATTCTTCTCCCTCAGAAAATCCTAAAACTCTTCCTGAACTGTACATCCTTCTGAAAAAAAAAAAACAAACAAACAAAAACAAACAAACCAAAAAACAAACAAAAAAGACTTCCAGTACCAACAGCTTCCACAGAAAAGGAAATAATCATTTGCTGGCTGCTAAGTTGTACGAGCTCTGAGATTAATTTCCACACCCAAGCCATTCTAACTGTGGGCCCTGCCAGGACAGCTGACTAGAGGAGGATTTTGAGCAGTCGAACCTGGATTATACTCTTTCCTCCTACAGAGTGTTACCTTTGGTGTGATGCTTAGGTAGGACGATTCCGTGGCATCCTTCAGGAAGCCGGGAGCAGCGAAAGGTGGAGGCTTCGTGCTTTCGTTGAAGTGCTCATCAGCTCTCAGCCCTCTAGAGGAGAGGAAAGCAGCAGTGCCACGACTGTGGCTGCTCAGATCTGAGAAATCCGAATCGCTTGCAGATGATTTCAAGTGGCTTCTGAACCTCATTTCCAAATTCATCTGGGAGTCTTCAAACACCGAATCCTCGTCGGAGAGCTGAAGTTTTTCGAGTTCTTTGTTGATTTTTTGAACATCAGCAACTGTTGTAGCTGCAGCAGGGTCGCTGTCAGATTTGGAGTATTCTGCACACAGATTGAGGATTGTCTCCAGGCGCTGTCGTTCCTGGTTTAAAAAAAAGATAATAGGACTAAGCCTCACACGTGAGCTAAAGTAAAGATGAAGTAAAAAGAGTTTGCTCGAGTTTTGGGGTTGATTTTTTTTAGAATGACAGTTTAAAGTCCTTCAGTTCCATTTAAGTCTCTAGCAATCAAGGATAATAAACAGATATGCAAAAATAAATTACAGTGCAAGATGAAGAATCAAAATTAACATGGAAGAACAACTTAAAAAATTAAAAGTACATTTCACAGAGATTAATAGCTACTTAAATAAGATGTCCTAACACTTATTTACCTTTCCAATGTAGAAAATTTTCATATTAATATTCTTCATTCAGGTTGCTGTAACTGTACCCCATTTGTACGTACACATGTACAGTGACCTCACTGTATAAATCACTAATTATTCCACTTTACACTTACGCTATACGCCTACCAAGCTGCAAAACATCACACAGATTTTCCATGAACTCACCAATTCCTGGCTTTTTTGGATTTTCTGTTTTGTTAACTTTGATTCCCTTATTTGGTAGAGAATTAGTCCACATTTTGAAACACAGTTTTAGAAGCATTAACAGAAAAATAAGGCATCACATCTAAAATACAACAGGTGTCAAATGCATAGAAGTGGGGAAAATCTTCATTTACCAGTTAAATTCCCTATGGATTCATACTAACATTTCAAACTTGAGAATTTTTAAGAGGTAATGCTTTTACACAATTTCATGTTTCTTTTGCCAAAGAATAAAAATAATCTAAACAAAAAAATTGCTTACCATAAGCCTATTGAAAATTCTGCTGGAAAAAAAGACCACTTGTGAGAATTCCATGCTTGGCATTAATACCTGCACTGATGATCTCATTTCTGATTTCTACGAAATCCTTCTCATTTTTAGTAGCATTTAAAAAGAAAGACAAAACCCCAAATTCCTCAGCCTCCGTCCCTAGGAACCACTGCAGACATACTCACTTTCCAATTTCTACTTGGCATTATATTTGCAAACAGGATTTGCAAAACAGCTATTTCTGATAGTCCTAACATTCCCTATGCCCAATAGCAAGTGATAACAAGGATCAAACAAAGCAGTTCAGGCAATACATTGCCTTCTGTTTCCCTGCAGCAAGCCATTGGAGTTTTATGAAAATTTAACATCGCTTTACAAGCACCCAGCTTTTTATACAGCTATCAAGAGACTACCCGGTTGTATGCACTACACGTTCACATCACCCCACATCACCCGCAGTTAAGAGCTGCATTTCTGAGCTGGAGAACCCATCTGAACCCATCTGTCTCCAAGCACTACCCAACCAAGAGAACACCATGAGACATTTGCCTTCAGGTAGCTTATTCCCAGGTTCTCACTGCAGGTTTCCTCTGAAGCCTCCTGTAACAGCACCGGCAGAGATGAGTCGCTGAAATAATGGAGCCTGGGGCAGCTGCAGGGCAGCAATTGCAAGCTTCTATTTTCCACGAAATGGGTCCAGCAGATTCTGCAGACATCTTTCAACCCCAAATAATTGACATAATCATAACTCCCCAAAGCCTTGTTCCCTCCAGGCAACCACTGCCAGACCCTAAGCCTCTTCCCTTACCCCTCCAACACCGCTTTCCTCCCTCTTACTGAGTCTTTTGGCCATGCAACCCAATTCCTAAAGTGCTGTGCAAGTGCTGGCTGGGATTGCCAGTAATTACGCAGCTCTCCCTGTTGTGACAGCACCAGGCCTGGCCCTTTCATCCAGTCACCATAATAGTTATAGATGGGAAAGACAGCATCAGGACATGAAGCTCCATCCTTTCCTGCAACAGCAGGGTATATCGGGTTACCCTGTGCCAAGCCTCCATCCCTTCAATAATAATAGGGAATGGCGAATTTCAAAGCACAGCCGCTGCTCATCCTAGCCTAAGCGCTCAGGTAAGGGGCTCTCACTGCAAACCTGCCCTTTGCTGAGCAGTCAGGGTTTTTTAGGGGGGGGGGGGATTCTTTTTTCCCCAAGTCTCAGATGCTCAGCAAAACTTAAAAAATGGCAGGAAAATCTCTGCCAGTCTTCAAAAAGTTCCTGATGAACTTTCAGACACATTACAGAAATACCGATATCTCTCACTTCTATTTTGACATGTGCCGAGTGGCTTACGGACAGGAAGCTCTGTGGTTACTTTATACGCTCTATTCTCATCATTTCATCTCAGCCAACTCATTCCAGCTCCAGTACACCTGCATTTAACTGTTTCCAGCATAAATTTCTGAGTCAAGCAGCAAGCTAGGAAAGCACCCCTGCAGTGAAAAGTGCAAAAGCAGCAGCACATGGAAAATCCAGTTGATAATTTTGCAAGAAAGATAATCACACGAGTTATTTGTGATGCTGAACACATCAGAGGGAAAAAAAGGTATGTCAAAAGAAGGAAATTGCTTTAAAAGTGGCTCTGGTGGGAGGGAGGGGTGTCGTAAGCCTTTCAGTGTATTTCCCCATAAAATGTCCTTTCGAACAGACTAAAACACCTCTTTGTGTTTTCTGTGGATCTCTTACCTGCTATGAAAAGGGGTACACAGGACTTGTACGCTTTCTACCTGAGCAGTTTCACTGCTCCTGGCTTTGACAAAGCTACACAATACCTATGGATGGTTGCAAATTTAGGTGCTGAAGGAGAAGGGTGGGATAAGGGGATAACCTTCCTCTGTTACTGCTTAACAGTGACATTAAGAGACATCTCTGGCACACTATAAGAAAAATGAACCAACATAGAAGAGATAAATACCTTCCACTTTTTTAACAGCAACCACGTCAGTGATTCCTGGATTTGTTCATCTGCTGCATGTCATGTATAAGAATTTTATAAATGCATAAAGATGATGCTATATCTAGATACCAAGGCAAGACTTGGTTAATCAGCTGTGGCAAGGAGGAAGCTTTTTAGATAAGTGCCATTAGCAATTGGATAACCCCAGACTTCATTAAAAATACATGTGTAGTCTACCCTTTCTGACCAATGCTAATGAGAATTACAACTAGTCCGTGCAGCCAGGGCTTGCTTTGCCTGAAAAAGAGGCTGTCGCTGTTTTCAGCTACCAAAGAGCAGCACTTTTCCACTGCTGCTCTTTAAAATCCTCACAGGCAGGCAAACAAGCAGCTTCACAGGAAAACCTTGGGAGTAGCAGCTAGTTAAAAAGGAGGGGAGGGGGGCAGGTGGAAAGAGGCAGAGAGACCGGGCAAGAGAGCAGCAGAAACTCCCCAAACTTGCTTTCTTACAAACACATTCAGTACCGCATGGACAAGAGGCAGGAGAAAGCTTTCTCTTTCCTTCCTACATTTCTAAGGAGGTGGTGATTTCACACGTCAGACACCAAGAAGCTTTATTTCAAAGCTAGAATTTAACCCAGTCTGAGAACAGCTCACCCACTGTTCTTTCCCTTCTCTCCAGTTTGCACCAGTTTCTCACTTCAGCCTCATTTGTTTTCATTTTCAGTCCTTGTTTTGCTATACTTAGTCTTTTGGCCCTGAGGTTACCATTAGCATCCCAGAATTCAGAAAAAGCACCCGTATTTCTCATCCGTCTCTCACAGGCGATGGGCAGGAAGCCTTTCACAGCAGAGGCACCTGCATGGAGAAGCGCTGCTGAGAGACCACCTCAGCTCAGAGCAAAGGACCTCGCCTTGTCCTTACCCTCCCAGTAGAGGCAACAAAGAAATGGACAAATAAAAGCAGGCAAGATCGGTGGCATGGACTAGAGCCAGCCTCCAGGGAGGAACCGAGCAGATGACTTTCTGCAAAATTAGCTCTAGTATCTACAGGCACATATTTGGCTCTGGAGGAGATGCCTTCAGCTTCCAAAATAACAGCGTTGTTCAGACCAGTGCCCTTTTGCCCCTCCAGTACCTATGCAGATGCTCCTTTTCAAATGATGCACGAGCCTGAAGACTAGAGCTCCAGTGCAGTACTTAACTTCTGTAAATGAGAATAGGTCTTCTGCAATTGATTTCTTCCTGGACCATACTGTTCATTTGCATAAAACATGTAGCTGCAAAAATTAAAGATTCCAGAGAAATCTTTTGGAATACAATTAAAACTGAATGTTCCTGAAAACTTACTGAGCCGTCAGTATTAATTATGTTCTGCGGGGGTGGGGGTTTATCCTATTACACAGCACTTGTTCATTTACTAAACTAAATTGTTATTAAGTAGCTGTTCTGTAACACTACAGAGACTGTCAAATAGTGGTGGGAAAAATTACCTTGATCTAGCCTTTGTCTGCTTGGCTGGGGTTCCTGTAAGAGCTTTGTCACTTACGGTTTTACATACAGCTTGGGTACTTTATGTTTAAAAGGTCTATAAAAAGACCTTTATAAAAAGACAGTGACATCATAAATTCGTAAAACATATATATGAGGTTTTTCCAAGCTCTATGGGAAGTTCACGTAAACTTTATTAACAATAATTTTAAAGCCGTATCACCTTGAAAATTCCAAAATATTTTCATTTCATTTTCCCCTCACATGAGCACGTCTTACTAAACTATAACGCATCAATGCAAACCAGGCACAGGGATATTCTATATTATTTCCTGCTTGCTGAATAAACTTAATGAAATTCAATGCTCTTCTGACTGTGAAAAAGTCGGCTATGCAATAAGTTCCTTGAATTTTATTATTGCTCATCTGGGCATCAATCATATAAGCTGAAATCTCTCCCAGCACAATTCCTGCATCTAGTAAAACTTAATTAACAAGCATATGTTTACAGATCCATACAGACAGCTGGACTATGAAAGGTATCATGCAGATACTACACATGTAATTTTTAAGTACCTACCACCATCTAGAGGAAATACATTGTACTGCCTAAAAACCAGCCATAGAAAAATCAAGTTCAGCGCTATTCAAATGAGTGGACATCAAACAAAACACATGGCCTTAATATCTATGTGACTGTGTTGCCTGTGCTGTTCCACCCCCAACCTCCCCACAGGCTGAAGAGAAAGAAGGCCTTTCAGATTCAGCAGCTACCACAATTGGGCTTTTATCTCAGATAGGAAAAAAGTGAGATTTCCTCTTTAAAAATAATAAAAAAAAATAGCTAACTGAATCTCATTGAATATTCTTAGATCACAGTGACCATTTTTTTCATTGTTTAATAAGGCTCCTGGGCTAGCTTCAGCAATAGCCAACTCCAACTTCTATTTGTGTAAAGCTTGTATAAACATCCCAACGCCAAGATGCAATGTCCGGTCAGTTGGGCTGGAAAGGAACCAGATTGTGACCCACCAGCCCACTGCCTGTGCAAGCTCCAGGAGCAACCTGTGCCATCCCACCTGCTCCTGCAGCTCACTGGTCCCCAGTGCTCAGCAGTAACACCAGAGGCACAGAAGCAACGGGAACTCTGGTTCCTCCCACTCCTCAAGTCACAGGGGAACAGGCTGGCAAAACAGAAGTGGCACCAGTCTTCAGCTACTTTGGGTGAACCCAGCCGTAAAAGGCAAAGCAAAAGAAAGACAGAGGGAGAAACACCAAATCCTACACAAGTACATACATGTCTTTTCTGTTTGGTGTATGGGAATAAATTAAAACTCAGATGTTTAAATCATATAAAAACAAAACCAAACAACGACAACAACAAACCCTGCCATGCATATTTGCACTATTCCTACCATTTTATTTAATTCTCTGTTTATTTCTTTGGGCAATGACAGCAGATCATTTGGTTTCATATGCAGGCCGTTAGTGGCAGCTCAAAATGCAAACTTCCAAAGGAGTCTCTGTCACTTAAAAAGCAAACTAAGCACAAGTGAAACCCACCGAAAAATTTCTATGGAAAAGAAAAAGAAAAAAGCAAAAGTAAATAGAAGAGACCAAGGGCAGATACCAGGTCAGATTACAGTGTGTGCATACAATTTACTAAAAAGAAAAATAAATCCAGAAGTGAGTAGCAGCTATCAAACACAACACCCCAAAACTCCTCTGTGCCAGCAGGACAGCTACAGGGGCAGTGCTGGTGCAAAGGTGCTCTCCATATCTGGGCCACAGAGCAGTTTAATACTCTAAAAAGGAGGCTTATGTGTCTGATTAAGTTTTCTGAGTAGTCCTACGTTTTTCTTCTGCCTACCTTTCTTCAAAAGCACAGTATGGAAGAGTCTGACACTTGTGCATAGAGGGACGTTTCCCCTGCCAATTACCTCCTAGCTCCTCAATCTGAACTTTCACACACCACTGACAACACAAAGCACACAGCTTTGCTATCCACGGATGCTTGTTTAGTTGTTTTTTTTATTCACACCTTCCCCCACCCCTCAAAAAAGAGAGGCCTGACCAGATCTGGACCCCTAACCTTTGTCCATCTCACAGTACACAAGGTCAGACAAAACTGCTCTTTGGAAGCTCAGGCTGGATATATAAAGACCCTGTTTGGATAGACCCATGACTAGATCCAGAGAGAAGGACAAAAATAAAATAAAAACAAAACAGGACAGGCCCTAATGTAAAAAGTACATTCCTTCTCAGATATCTAAAATACTATTTACGGCACTTTTCAGACTCTCAAACCATTGAAAGGAAGCACTCTCCCGCTATTCAACTCTTCCACTAGATAGCTCTAACAAGGGGGAAAAAAGTATTGAGCAGATTCCTGAAAAGAAGATGAACTCAAGCAGGAGGAAGTTCCTTCACGTTCAAATTATATGCAACACACAAACACCATTTTTTTTCCAAAAACTTTAACATGCTCAGAAAAACTGTAGGCAAATTCTCTTTTTAATGAATAAAGACTCGAAGGAAGTGTTATCCAGCAAGAAAAGAAATAGGGGGGGCAGGAATAATGTAGTTATTACATCATAACATAAAACTAGCACAATTTTTAGCATTACTGAATATAGAAACAACCCATATCTTCCATCCCCCATCACAAAAAAAAAAAAGCTGTTCTCTGAAATACAAATACGCTCTACTATGTTGTCTTTGGTGACTGATTACCTCAGGTTTTACAGCATGACTGTCTGGAACAATCCTCTGACAAGAAGAAGGTTTGCACACACAAATCACCAGGACTAGGGAGAAGGGAGATTTCCAAAAGGAGTGGAGGAACAGCAGTGAGAAGGAAGCAAGAAGAGAGAGAACAACCCACCAGCATTTCTGACGCTTCCCACTTTGGCGTGCACAAGCGTAGCAAACTTTCCTAGGCCACCCAGTCATTTCCACTCGCAGCTGGGCCTCCTCACCCCAGGGAGCCAGGCCCCTGCTCCCGAGAAGCCACAGCTTCAAGGGGAGCCAGCGGAGGTTTCGGGGGGCAAACGGGGCAAGGCAGGGCCGGGGCACACATGCCGCACTGCTCACTGAGGGGGCAGAGGGGCAGTGCCTGCCGCTCCCTCACACCCACACCTCGACTCTGCCGCCCTGGCTCTAAGCGGGCAATGGCAAACCCTTTCACATCTTGCAAACCAACAGCGTGCATCCCGCAGACTGCAGCGCTGGGCGGAGCAGGGCTGAGAAGGCAGGCTCCCGCCCGCCTAACAGGGTCCTCACCTGCTTGCATCAAGGGCACAGGTGAGACAGGAGGGAGACATCGCAACGGACTACAATCCTTCAGCTGAACCTGCTCACAAGCGTGGCTCGAAACGGGAGCGGTGGCCCTGCACAGGCACTGGGCCATTGCTAGTGGTCCCTGACGGGCAGCCCCTGCTCCCCTGTCCCACCGCTCCCGACGGCTTTCCACCCCAGCCTGCTCGGGAAGTGAACTCCCCTGCAGGCTCGCTCTCTCTATGCAGACCAGACAGGTTTAAGAGTATCCTATCCCCATTTTGCTCAAATCCATAAAGATCTGAATTAAAGCACACAAATGTAAAGTTAATGTCTCAAATCAAAGACTCAGTAATATAAATTGGCCCATCTAACAACCAGTTTCTATGTTGATAAAATCAGTACCATATGAATGCATGTTAATAGGGTCAGAGACCTGTAGCCACTGAGAAAACTTTTTTCAAAGAAATACTAAGTATTCTTTCAAAGACATTTTCAATAAGAAACTGTTTCAACCACCTTTGTGTGTTCTGCAGATCTTTTTTTTTCCCTACCTAAAAGTTGTTTTAATAATACATAAACTACACTTCACTACCAAGTTTAATCCTGAGCTGAAGCTGGTTGCACTGCTTTATGTTGACTAGAGTCAAAGAGAGACTGTCTCCCTCTGCTACTCTCCATTTTGAGAGGGGGAGAAGCAAGGAAGCCTCTATTTTAGTGGAAATAGAAGGAAAAACCAGAACGAAGCAGAGAAAGCTCTGATGACCCACACCAATGTATACCTGATTCTGCAGCACACACAGCTGAGCAGCTTATAGAGGAATCTCATTTTTTTTAACCCACTCACCACAAAACAGTGCCATCATCTAAAACAAGAAGTGCTGGATCCCTGCAGTGCAATTTGTGGGTTTTATGTACATAGACATTTTAACAGAGCCCACAGGATGACTGAATGCAATTTACATGGGTTCCAACATTTTTTTTAATATAGCTGAATAGTACTGTCTATCTGAGCTGTTACAGCAGCACACTATTTAAGCAATAGCTTCATGGACTGCGATAATAAACAAGGCATCTGAAGCAGGCAACATTTGAATTTCAAATATGGCAGCTTACACTTTGCTGTACCCTCCTGATGGTCAGATCTGGGATGGACATTTTGCAAATGCTAACTGCCATGAAAAACTAAGAGGAAGAGAACAAATTACCAGCCGTTCCATCTCCTGCTCCCGAAGTCCCTCTGCCTCCTGTGATAGTCCATGAGGTCTTCTCTTCCCGAAATGGAGCTAATGCTGTTCTTCCGCTCTCGCATGGATGTTTGCAGTGAGTTTGGTGTCTGTCTGTAACTTTCCAGATCTGGGTCATCAAGTTCCACAGAACTGGTAGAAAGGTTTCTTCGGACTGAGAATGACCTGTCAAAATCCACTGGGGAGAAAGAACTACTAGGACTTGTTCCTGAGAGTCCAAGTCTTTCAAAATCATCAGAAAGATATGGGGAAGAAGGTGCTAAAAGCATTTTTTTAGCAATTCGAGGACTTGCAGGAACACTAAGAGTTGAACTGACATAGGGATTATTCCCAGAGACAGAATTTGCATGTGGTGAAACCCCTGAGCTGCAAGAAGAAAAATTCAGGTAATTATCAGCATCTAATGCATTCTGAGGTAGATCTTTTTCTCCAAGTTTTTTCCTTTTAGTATTACCCAGAGAGCTTCTGGGGGGCAAACTTAATGGCACCAGCTGGCTTTCTGTCGATTTATAAAGTCTGGGTAGGGAACGACTGTACATTCCCATATGACTCAGAGATCCACCAGAGTATTTCCTAGACCGTGAACCCAGAGTCTCCATCATCACATCCCTGTGCTTAACTGGTTTTATGTGAAGGGGCAGGCTGTCTTCAATATTCATCCTCCTGCCTTGCTTTGGGCTAGAAGGCATGCTGGCTGCCCCTGAATTGCTAGTAGGTGAAAGCATCAGCTCATTCCCTGAGCTTCCATTCCACATGGTCAGAAGAGAACCCGAGATCTTCTTTGTCTCCAGCATTCCTGGGAAGTAGACGTTGTCGTACGATTTGTTTTTCTGACTGTACTTTGAGAAGTGAAACTTATCCACGTGTCCAAGGGACTTTTCATTTTCTCTGCTAGCATGAATATCAAAGTCTGTCCTTCCTAAATTGTACCCACTGAGGGATGGGGACATGCCCGATATGGAACCCAAATGCTTTACAGAGATGCTTTTATCTGGAAGATATGGGCTTTCACAGGGGAACTGCTTACCTCCTTGAATTTTGGTAATAGAGTGTGTATTTTTAACACTGGAGGAAGGATTAGGTTTAACTGGCATAGGTTGTGAAAGGGTTAAATATGAGCCAGCATAGTCCCCATTTGTTTTAAATTTGAGACTTGATGAGTATTTCTTCGGGTTGAGGTTTTCCATAATATCCTGGAGACCATTTTCAAGGGAATTCGCCACAGAACCCTTTCCCAAACTAGTATTTTGTAATTCCATCTGGTTTTGTGTGTGGCTATACTCTGCCATAACGTTAGTGGAATCTGTAATGAAGAGAAGACAAGAAAAAAAAAAAAACTTTTAGCAAGTAAGTAGCCTCTTGCATGTTCATGCCAGCACATTAACTTGAAAGGATCACTTTTTGTAATAATTACTGTGCTCTTAATGAATGTGTCTCAGATCATTACGCACAGGAGGGGATGCACAACTTTCCTACCTCTGTTTTTGCAAAAGATGGAGACTAAAAAAGAAGGGGTAGAGGGACATCATCAAATTCATACTACAAATCAGCAACACAGTCGGAAAGAAGCTAGACTCTTTCTTTGGTGTCTGATCCATTGCAGGAGTCTGTGGCTCAGCCTTTATAACCCTGAGCCTCCTAAGACATCCATGAAGTAAGGAAGCATTACTGTCCTGGTATTTTGCAGCCAAGGAACTGAGGTGCAGGGAGAAGATGCAAAGCAGACAGCAAAGAACCCAACACAGGTCTCCCAGGACTCAGGACAGAGAACACAAGATACCACTCTGGACCACCTCTTCTTTTAAGCTAAGCAGTTAGCACATCCGAGCCCCAATATACTAATGAGCTCAATTCAAAGCTCAGTAGGAGTCTGTCACCTTTCTGCTTACTCTGTGGGTTGTCGTTGCAAAGCCCCATGGAAAAGTACAAAACCGATGCCTGTTTTTCAAGATGTTTCAGCTCAGTGCTCCTAAAATTCAAAGCTGTAACTTCATCTGCAAAGAGCACTTTAGTTAAAAGATAGTCTTAAGGAAGTATAATGCTATGCTCCATGACTTCACTCAAAACAACAAAAACAACACATGACCATTAAAAACACTGACAGGGGTTTAAGGTTCCAGGTCCTAAAGTTTGTTCACAATTACAATTTATATTCTGGAAGAAGACACCGACCAAAAAAGCCTTTGCTGAGGTGGATGTTATTGTTCAATTATGCGTCAAGCTCCAGCCTACAGTTCTGAGCCCCACTTTGCCAAAAGCAAAGAAAGGAATTCAGCTCCTGATGGTGTCAGTCATCACAGGAGATAAATAGGACCCCCAGCAGGCTTTCACTTAGACCTCAGCTGATGTAGAAATGGCACCATTAACATTTACAGCAGCTCCCTGGATGTGCTAAGCTGTGCTTCGAACTAACAAAGCACTCTTCAGTGTCAGCTCCTGCAGTGCCAGTGAGCGTTGCCTCTGAAAATCCACAATTTACTCTTGGCTCACTCACATTTCACCTGTGACTTCAACCACCTCATGAGAAATCAGTTTGTCACTTGGCAGGGAAACCTAACATCCAAACGTGTAAAGTGCCTTTAAAAACCTCAGAGGCAATACCTTAATCCTTTTCCAAGTACCACTTCAGTCAATCATATGAACCTAGACACAAAACTTGGATTCCTGCCCCCTACCAGAGTTGATATGATCCAGTTTCATTGAGGATCATTAGGTACAGATATCTAGCGGAAGGTGGCAAAGCATTCTTTGAGTGGGTCCTCGATTCTGGGACCTTCCTTACTAACATGGCAAAAAACCCTGGAATTCATTACTGTCTGGGCCATCATTCAATAGACCCTTGTTGCATAGGCTTCCTCTATGGAAACTGTCATAAGTCTAAGTGTGTAACAACACATTCTCTCCAATTCTTAAGTATCAAACACATAAGTTTAAGAATAAAGGTAACCATCATTAATAACGTAATTGAATAGGCAGAAGATAAAAGAAGTCACCATTGCAGGGGGGGAGTGTAGACATGTGTGTGAGAACAAAAACAAACAAACAAAATCAAACACTTTCTTGACCATAGCAGACCTGGCTAAGCATGTGTTAATTACAAGCTCTAGTAGTGGCCAAAAACATTAACTTGCAGCTTCAAAACCAAGCCTCAGGTTTAATACTACATAAAACTTAGTATTTTTATGCTGACTGTGATTTTATTTGTGTAATTTTAACACGTTTGTTATGATGATAACAACTAAGTTGCCTTTGAACCAGTAAGTTCATAGAGCTCACCACAGACCATCACAGCTGTGAGCAGTTTCTTATAATTTGATGGTTTGCTTGACATTTTTTAGCTATTTTCACAACTTTTGATCATCAGCAATGATGAAGTTCAAATGACCAAAAGGAGGAATGGGACTCTTGTCAGGAAAAGACAAAATCATCTGGAAAGGATCAAGTATTCACCTTACTAGTGGTGTTACAAGGAAGAAAAACAAGATGCAAAAGCTATTTAAGAGCACAGATATAAAGCACAATGTATATGCCTTGTATACTTAGCCTTCCAATGTGGAACAGAACCTAATTTCCATCCACACCTCTCTTTCTCCTTGCCTTTTCCAAATCTCTCTTAAAATTGAAAGCTAATCTCATATCAAAGTTGTACTGTCCAAATCATAACTTGAACACAGATGAAGTTCAAATGTTTTTGCGTAAATTCCCTTGGCTCCTATACAAATAGCTTAGAAGACATATTAATGGGACATTAATAATTGTTTGTCATTCCCTTACAACACCAGTAGAGCACATTTAATCCTACAAAGACAGGATGCTTTTGCCAAAAACCAAGTTAGCTCATGGAAACTTTCAGGCCTGTTAACCAGAGCAATGAAAGGTTCATTGTACTTGAAACCCAAACAAGTACAGTAAGAAAAGGTCACAATACCTTTGTGTAGCCACTCAGATTCAACTTTTCTCTCCTATACCTTCTGCCAGTTCTTCTGCGTTTTTGGTTCCAGCACCACAGTGCCCGCAATCATACGGTTAAATCCCAACTGGACGACAGCACATGTTTAGCTGAACTGTAGCTGCTTCCCACAAACCAGATTTTGTTTGTTTTGTTTATTTTCAGGGTAACGTTTGGGATGAGACTTTATGAATATGCCAGGATGCATTACACATCCTGGCTGATGCTGCCTTCTCATGCATCTATAGGGACTGAGGCTGGGAGCCCTGGTAAGTGGCATGCCCTGAATCCATCCTGCATCCAGGTCAGCCCCAGCTTTCACTTGGTAACCTCCAGCACACAGTGGCTCCTCTGTTTAGCAAAGTATTTGCTGCCTGGAGCTATACAGAAGGAAATTCTTCCATTTTTTAATTTTTTTTTTTTCCCCCCCCTCATTCCTTTTCTTCCTTTCCTGAGTTGTTTAGCTGGGGGTCACTGATATCTATTCCAGCCAGGAATTAAAGTGATGGGGGAGGGTTGGATGTCTGCAGCATATCCAGCTGTGGCCTTATTTTGGCTGCTAAATCGAGTTAGACATGGAATAAGAACAGAGTGCTGATCTTATCCATGTGTCAGGAGAACTAAAGGACCAAAATCAATAACAAATTATGAAATATCTCAGTACACTTACAAAGAAACTTCATTTTTATTAACTGATTACCTGACCCAACATTCTGAAAGGAGGAGAGGTTACTTCTGTTCGGCATCATATTTGTCTTCTACAAGATGGTTGAAACAACGCTAATTTGAGGGATCCAGATGACCTGCAAATAAAGTAACAAAATTAAAAAAAAAAAAAAATACTGTGTTAAGAAGTGTACTCTGAGAAAATTTTTCAAGTATATAATATAGACAAAAATTCACTTTTCTTATAGTAAGAAGAGACAACTCAAAAAGAAATATGTTAGAAGATATTTGGAAAGGACACTCCATGTTTAATGTGGAAACTATGAAAAAAAAATTGTCTGCAGTTGTTTTATCAGTTTAAAAAACCATATGATTTGATTTGATAATCAGATATTATCTATTGTCCTGACTCTGTGCAGGCAGTTACTAGTCACAGCTCCTGAGTTTTGTCTGCACTCCTGTGGCTTCCTTAAGAAATCATTAACAAGGCTGGACTTTTCTGCTGAAGATTTTATTTTTGAAAGCCCATAGCCCAATTTCAGCCCACACAACACCAGCATCCTGCAATCACGAAGAAACCTATTCAAAACCAGGTATGCTATCCAAAACACAGAAAATGTTTTGGCATGCAATGATTTCTGAGGTTCCAAAGAAGCCAAACTAGGAACGCAAAAAGATTCTTTAAAGTTTATTTTAAAAAATACAAAAAAAAATAGTATGGCTAAAAAAAGACTTGGCTTAAAAGAAATGCCAAAATTAAATCCCAGCCACTAAAGACTAAAATTAAATCTAAATCCAAATAGAAGATCTCTAGCGAGTTGCTCTATTAAAAGATTTACTTATTTTTTTTATACACACATCTGTTTTTAAAAGATGGACAAAAAAGCTTTTAAAAAAATTGCACCAAGTGACAAAATTAATGGTGACCATCTGTAGGTCCTCTGGGCTTTAACTCTGGACAAGCAAATAGAAACGCGGCAGAAAAACAAGTGAAGAATGGAGACAGATGTCTTGGGCTGTCTAGAGACCAGCCACCTATTTAATTAAGCGCAGTCATCACAGCTGCAACGTTTCAGGTCTCCATTGCACAGCCTTTTCATGCCACGTTTTTTCACGTTATTCTCCAGGGAGAACAGACCTGGGAGCAGGGAGGTGGCTGCTAATCCCTGCAGAGGGAGGCTCCTTCACCTGCTCCCCACAAAGTGCTCTCCCACAGCGGGGGCAGGCCCTGTACCTCCCTTCTGCTCCCTCAGGAATCCCCCTGCGCAGGTCTCACTTGGTGGTGCTTTTTCTTACTCCGCAGAGGTCATGTCTCACTCCTAAGGACAGAGTTTTCCACCCCATCGGGCACCTCTTCCCTCCTCCAAGTGCATGCAGTCCACTGTTCCCCAACAGCGGTGCTGCTCTCCAAGGAGCCAGAGTGAGGAAGGAGACCCTCAGAGGGCCGTACCTCCAGGGGGGACTCATCCACCACGTCTGCCCTCTCCAGCACCACAGGACTCAAGTCCTACAGAGCAGATAGTGGGAAACAGCCTGGACAGCAGATAGCTTTTCAACCCAAGTTTCATGCTCGACAGGTTATTTTGTTGACATGAAACATTTACCATCCTTTTCACCCCAATGGGTCTTCCATCCCACATGAGACTCCTCTCCTAATTCCTTCCAGCTTGCCCCGCACCCTCCAAAGTCAAAACCTGCGTAGCATCCCAGGCACCTTCCTTGCCAGGAGTGGGGCTGGGAGCTGCCTGTAGACCCCCAGCAGGGCTGCAGTCCACAGGCAGCTGACCCTGGCAAGACTTAACAGCAGTTCTCCCACTTGTGGCACTGGTTCTCTGCCTTTGCCCGGCTACAAAACATGAAGACTAAGACAGAAATCCTTTAAAACTGCCACTACATTGCCATCTTGGCATATCACCTGTGTAATCTCTGTTGAAAAGCCCAGAGCTCCCCAGAAAAGAACTAAAAATTTAACTTTTCGGGACATGTTCAACGCAACACAGACAACTAGCGACTCTCAACATTTCACACTGTTCTGTAACATCATCGAAGAGAAAACTAAAATATGGACGACTTCGAAGACAGAAGAAAGGATTGCTTTTAAAGAAAGGGAAAGGTATAATTGTGTTTCCTGTGTCTCTGACATTGCTGCTTTATGGTTAAAATCATTGGTAAGATCACCAAAACCCCCATCCTTTCTGTCTCGTAAGATGATGGCTACCACTTAATCAATGTGACAAACATTAAGGCGAGGACAGCTGAAACGGAAGGGTTCCCATGTAATTGAAAATTCAATCTTCAATTCAGTTTGGTGAATACCTGGGTTTGCTAATAGCCAAAAAGAAAAATGTCTTTTTTAAGGTTAAATATTTATATGGTTTCAGTTCAAGTTTGAGAACTCATTACACATCTCTCCTTTTAGACGATGAGAGATCAGATAAGTCATCACCCTGCAATAATTGAATTTTTTGGGGGCAAGAACTTTCTAAAACTCTCCACCATGAACATAAACGAGAAACAATTAATGAATTAATGAGTTAAGCAAATGAATAGCTCAAAATCTACAGATTATCTGCTCTCATGAAATCATATTCTTTCAGATGAGGATTATGCAGGGCCTCATCCAACAATCAGCAAGGCTGACTCTTGTTACAGAGTGCATGCTGCACTCTGCCTCGGCTGGAATGAAGCAAAATTATTTCATCCGGGATTTATAAAGTCATCTGAAGTGAATGTATACACCATTACCAATCATGTTTCATCTCTACAGTGCCCAGGCCAAAATAAGTTTTGTTTCACTAACGACCAGAAGAAACAGTGACTCACGACTCAAACAGGCAGCGAGTCAAACAAAGGACTCAAATTTTGAGATATTAAAACACAGGGTGGCTTTACAGTAAAAACTCCTTTCCCTTGGCATAGGAGCCTAGAGCAGCAGCTCAACCAAGCCACAGGTACAGCTCTATCTGGCGTTTAGTCCATAGATTTAGGGCAACATTTTCCCAGCGCATAGTTTCTCACCCCTTCTTTTACTTAGGCCTGGGCTGACACCACCTCCTTTTAGCAGTCTGCTATGGCACCCACTTTGTTCTCACATTACCAACCTAACGGGTTGCAATGCCTCAGGCATTACTAAAGTGCTCTTCTGACTGAAAATAAACAGTTTTAAACAAAGCTCTCAAATTTGGCCATCTCTCCTTTAAGGCTTTTCTGCTCTTCATTGTTTCTTCATTATCAGTTTCTCAAAAAACATTACCAGTGGTTCCAGGCAGCTCCTGTCCCCTCTCCTGTCTCTGATACTTCTCTTCAGAAACTCCTACAGCAGTGTACAACCACCCATGGAAAACAAACAAAACCCTGAGTGACGGAAGGCGAGGACAAAAACCCATCATTGACACTATCCGTACAACATCATTAGTTTAATTTGTTCTGAAACAAGAAGGTTTTCAAATTATTAGGGTCTGTTTCAACTGTTCCAATAAAACACACACTGTTCTGGAAGCAAAAAAGCCTCTTCAATTTTTACGCTATTAACAAAATTTGGTGAATGAGTGCTGATGGCCTCGGTGCCCAGATTCAACTTTCCCACAGTATAGAACACCTACATGCATAAATGGACTGCTCCATTACCAAGCTGATTTACCCTCTTCCTGTATAATCTAAGGACGATGTACTTGCTCCTGATTAAATGAAGCCTTTTTTTGCCCCCTGACTGACTTTGGTTATTTACAAATGAAAGTCTTAAACTGATGGGAAAGTAAGACTCACCAGGATCTAGTTCACCTCCAAAGACGCTTAAGTGTAAATCCATCTTCCCCCAACCCCTTAAAGCCTAATGTCACACTAAAACAATATATCCACAGAAAGACATCTGCATAATTTGGTGGAGACTCCAGAATGGGCATATCCTTAAGAGAAAGCACAGCCATCTCTGCCAAAAACTGAGCAACTAGATAACAGCAGGCCTGTTACCTAAAGGTTGCCTTAAACGTCCTTCATTTCCTCCTCCTCCCCGCCCCGCAACACAATATACTAGACCCTAAGCTACAGCTAATTTCCTGCCAGCACAGCCCTGAAATTTGCTCAGTCCCTGGCTTTTCATAATATAGGTCCTGCAATACATTGGTCCCCGCGGTGCAAGTGAGCACAAGGTCTGGTTACAGGCACAGGGTGTTTTAGTTCCCAAAGCTCACAGCTTGGCACCTTTACCAACACTAAATAAATTAAAAATCAAGTATCTGTGAATCAGATCTGACTGTGTTACTCTCTTGCAATCCTGCAGGTTTCCTATGTGGGAAAGGGAGTGGCAGAGGAAGTCGCTCTTACAGCTTATCTCTTCCGCTGAGAAATTACTGTGTTGGATACTGGAGAAGGAGCAGAAAAAGGGCAAAGCAACAACAGAAAGCACCCTGAATAACTTTATTCCCCTCATAAACCACATCTATTTTACTGGAATAACTACCCCAACTATTCAAAAAATTGCACCCAAATACAACATTTTTACTTATTCTGTCCTACTGCATAAGCATGATTCTCTCCTACACGATAAGGACTGATGATGTAGGCATTGTCAAATTAATTGGGCCCTCCAGTAGACGGAAACCACGTAATCATTTTCATCAGGTCATGACAACTGACAATTTTAAATGTGCATCAAAAATAAAACATTCATTACCTTGTAAATAGTACAGTTTGGTGACTACAAATTAAGATTTAAACATTGACATAAGAGACACCGACTGCTGAGTGTGTCCAAATACAAATGACAATGAAAATGTTGAAGCTTTATAACTTTTGTGCTGTAATGGCTACTCTTACCTGAAACTGAAACTGTTAAAAGTACACGTTTCAATTAATCTAATCTCATTCCTATGCATTTGGTAGGACAAGAAATTAGACCACCTTCTCAAACTGCATTATTTTAGTAGACATCACTGCCTCCTTCTTGTTTTGCAATCACACAAACCACTGTTTCATCCGGACTAGTTCACTGAGATAAGCTGAGGTGAGAAGGAGAGTTAATTTTTCTCTGCCCAAACAAAAGCCACTGACAGGTAGAAATGAATTAGAAAGATTTCTGTTGAAACAATGAACTCCTTTCTTCATGAAGAAAAACAGGACTGGCAGAGGACAAGC